CCCCAAAACCCCAAAACCCCAAAACCCCAAAACCCCAAAACCCCAAGGAAGATAACACAATAGAGAGAAGATTTAGAGGGATGCTTAAAACAATTAATTAGTCTTGTTTAAGTCTCTTCTGAAGCTCAATGTTGTTCTTGATTCTGGCAAATACTTTCAGGATTTCATCAATCAGAATTACTGGTGCTGAGAAAGCAAGGGTGATGATCCAGTCATATCCCGTCATGGAAGCAGTTCCGAAAATGTCAGCGAAGAATGGAATATAGATGATTAGAACATGGATAGCAATTGATCCGCCAATGGCCAAGATAAGCCATGGGTTAATCCATGGAGGCATCTGAACCAGAGATCCATCTTCAGAGAGAGCATTGAAAGCATTGAACATTTCAAGCATTACTAAGCAGGAGAGAGACAAGGTACTGGCCTTTACTTTCCCAATAGTGAAGTAAGTACATGGGTCTTCGAATGTTTGCCCGTGTGGTCCAACTGGATGGAAGTCCTTCCAGTCTGGGCACTCAGACCAGTTTCTGAGTTGGTCGAGAGTGACAAGAGTGTGACCATCTCCAAAGTCATCACAGCAGTACCAGTAGATGAAGATACCAACACATGCAGCTCCAACATAAATACCAATGACCATATATCTGAAGAGAACCCAGTTGCTCAGAAGACTCTCATCTGGATCTCTTGGTGGCTTCTTCATAATGTCCTTATCTGGAGGATTGAATCCAAGAGCCGTAGCTGGAGGCCCATCAGTAACGAGATTGATCCAGAGCAATTGTACTGAAGTGAATCCTTCTGGGATACCAAGAGTAGCTGTCATGAAAATTGAGGCAACTTCACCGATATTAGAGGAGATCAGATATCTGATAAAAGCTTGCATGTTAGAGTAAATAGATCTTCCTTGTTCAACAGCCTTAACAATAGTAGCAAAGTTATCATCAGTAAGAATCATATCTGAAGCCTCCTTAGCAACTTCGGTACCAGTGATACCCATGGCAACACCAATAGCAGCTTGTTTGAGAGCAGGAGCATCATTTACACCATCTCCTGTCATAGCACAGACTTCTCCTTGCTTAGTGAGAAGTTTGACTAATTCTCTCTTGTGTCTTGGCTCAACTCTAGCGAATACTTTTCCTTTGTCTCCCTTAAGGACGGCAATCTTGTCTTCTTCGTTGAGTTCTTCAAACTCAGCTCCAGTGTAGCAGTTACCTTCAGAGGTTTGTCCTTCAACAAGAATTCCAGCTTCTCTAGCAATTGCTTCAGCAGTGTTTTTGTTGTCTCCAGTGATCATAATAACTCTAATTCCAGCTTCCTTACATTGTTGAATTGATGGAGGAACTTGCTCCCTCAAAGGGTCCTTGATGGCAGCACCTCCGAGGAAGGTACCTCCAGACTCATAAGTGTCATACATATCAAAGGATGAGAGAAGAGTGTTCTTGTTATTCTTATTGATAGTACTAAGCTCTCCTCCATTGTAGATAGCAGCGATTCCGATACATCTGAGGCCTTGGGAAGCAATCTCGTTGTAGTGCTTCTTCAAGATTTCCTTATGCTTCTTAGTAAGGTCAACAATTTCTCCATTTCCAAGTCTGAGAGTTGCACATCTATCAATGATTCTTTCAGTAGCACCCTTTTGAAGGAGAGAAATCTTGTGATCTTCAGAGAATCCAGATACGACAGTGGCCATCATCTTTCTCTTACTATCAAATTCGAGGGTTCCTAGCTTCTCAATGTTGAGACTGTCTGAGAAGGGAGTTGGGTTCTTATCATAGCCATCAAAGTTATTGTAGAGAGCTCCAATCTTCTCAGAAAGTACTTTGAGAGCAGCTTCAGTAGGAGCACCATATTTCTCGAAATTTCCAGAAGAGAATTTTATATCAGCATGGTTATTCACGGTTGAGACGGTAGCAAGAGCTAATAAGAGATCCTTATGAGCTTGTTTCTTTTTGTCAGAGATATCAACCTTTCCTTGTGGGTTATAAGTGGTATCTTCAACATCAATATCAACAAAATCATCAAATTTCTCTCCACTGTAGAAGAACTTCACAGAACTCATCTCGTTCTTTGTGAGAGTACCAGTTTTATCAGAGCAAATGGTTGTGGTGCATCCAAGAGTCTGAACTGAAGGGAGTGTCCTAACAATAGCATGGTTCTGAGCCATAGTTCTGGTACCAAGAGCTAAGCAAGTAGTGATAACAGCTGGAAGTCCCTCGGGGATAGCTGCAACAGCCAAAGCAATAGCAATTTTAAAATAGTAGATACATCCTCTGACAACACCTCCGTGGATTGGGTCGCTGAAGTTAGAGTAGTTCATTGCCCAGACAAGGAAGCAAATAGCACCAATCATAATTGAGAGCGTTTCTCCGAATTGATCGAGCTTTTTCTTCAATGGGGTGTCTTCTTCCTCTTCACTAGCAGCCATTACTTCTTTTTGGATTGATCCAATAGCAGTATCCATTCCAGTAGAGCAGACAATACCAACAGCTTTACCATAAGTTACAATAGTAGAAGAGAAGAGCATGTTTTTCCTATCCTGGAGCAGGTTCGAGGTAGATTGAATAATTTCATGTTGCTTGTTCACTGGCTTAGACTCTCCAGTCAAAGAGGCTTCTTCAATCTGCAAGCTGACTGATTTCATTTCAGCAACTCTGAGATCAGCAGGTGTTTTATCTCCGATTTGAACTTCGACAATATCTCCTGGAACAAGATTCTTTGAGTCCATGATGTTCCACTCTCCGTCTCTCAATACATTACATTCGAGAGCTTGCATGTCCATTAAAGCTTCAATAGCGCTTTCAGCATTGCTATCCTGAGCGATACCAATGATTGCGTTGGCAATCAGGATCAATAAGATGACAAATGGCTCTACATAAGCAGCGATTCCTTCATCTTTATCATCAGTGAGAGCAATTACAAAGGAAATCACAGCAGCGACGAGCAAGATTTTGACTAGGAGGTCATCAAATTGCTCCTTGATCTTTTCCCAAAGACTTTCCTTCTCCTTAGCTTCTAATTCATTCGTTCCGTACTTTTCAAGTCTCTTCTGAGCCTCAGCTTTAGTGAGCCCTGTATCGAGGTTAGTATCAAAGTGAGTGAGGATCTCTTTGACTGCTTTCCTATGGTAATCAACCTTGCCTAGGTGACTTTCAAGGTCCTTCTTAGCCTTCTTAAGGACTTCCAACTGTTTCTTATCAACAGTATCGTCTTCGATATTATTCGACATTTATTATATAAGATTTAAAATTACCACACTGTCAAAATCTAAATTAGCGAATAATCTCAATACACGTCAGCAAGCAGGGGTTTTGGGGTTTTGGGGTTTTGGGGTTTTGGGGTTTTGGGGTTTTGGGG